GGGGGGGGGGGGGGGGGGGGTACTTCCTTATAAGAGGCTAATGGGGATGTGCCGCTGGATGGGGTCGCATTTTCATGACTGGATTGATTATAATGGGATCGCATTTTCCATACAGTTACAAGAATGGGGTCGCACATTTTCTGATTTTTGGGGTAAGATAGCTCTTCACATTTACAGTTAGCAAACGTACCAGAATATTTGTACTGTAGGTGAAAAGTAAAGTGTTCTTTATTCAATATATGGTACATAAATAAATAGAAAGTGACTAAGCTGGGATGGTAAAAATTACATATTTGCTCAAAAGTGACTAAGATGAAGTCTATAATTGGCCACAGAAGAGACTATAATGGGGTAGGGGCTCTGAGAGGCCAACGGCACATATTCAGCAAAAATTAACCAAAGTATCCCACCCCCCCCGAATTAAAGCTTGAAAAAAATTAGAGCATGAACGCGATTCGAACCCATGACCCCTACGATACCAGTGCCTGAATTTTTTTCAGGCTTTAATTTCACAACTGCTTGAGTTGTGTGCATAACTGCAATGATCAATCATGTCTTTATATCTTTCTCCGCAGTTCAGACATACGATCTTTCATATATTCACTTGTAGGTCATAACTAGTGTTGGTCGCTTGTAAGATTAAATTCTTGTGAGTGACTGCGTGCCGATATACAAGTGGTTGGTATAGAGGCTGCTCTCCCACGAAAACATTCTAGTGGCACTCGACGAGCTTACGTTTCCAAATCTAGATCTACGGGGGAATACAGATTCCTCAAGAACTAAAGAACGAAGAAACGCTTTCTAAACTGCAGTTAAGTGACAGTTCAAACGGGGTTTCACTCGAATGGTTGTAAGGGGAGCTTCGACTGTAGACAAGAAAGATCTTCAAGACGGTTTTTTGTGTGTTCATCGAAACTGACCCTGGTAACAACCAACCTGCACCTCGACGAAAATTTGCGTTAAATAATATAGGTGATCGTTAATTCTCGTTTTATTTGTAATTGACGGTGAAAAGTAAGTTTGTCCCAGGCTCGTTTACTTATGTCTTTGCCCTTCTTTATTTCAGGCAAAGGTAAAACGCCTCTATTTCATATCGCCAACCAATATGACTACAAGGGCCCTATCAATCTTAGACGCCGCAAAGGTTAAAACTGTGTAAGTAAAGCAAACTTATCTAATGCCAATTTCTTCATACATTATCTTTATCATCTTCCGTCAACTCTCCATACGACACGATGTACGTACAAACCCCACAGGGGTCCCCTTTACAGTCGGTGTGAGCAGGCCTTCCTCCCCCCTTTCTCTGAATCTGACATAAATATTTTCTTCATACCCTTTGGCAGTGTGCGTACCGCTCCACATTATATTTTTCAGTTATTTCTGTTAACCTGTTGTCATTTGAAGAAGAAAAGTCCAAACGAAGAAAGAAAATTACGCTATGTACATACATTTACATTCCTTTATTAATAATACACATGCAACAATTCTAGCATGCTGATTGGCTGAGTGCACGTGAATTAATCTCAAACAGTGCAGCAAGTTAAAATTGAGCGCAAAAAGTTGAAACTGAGTACAGAGAGTTGAAACATCATTGCATTAATGTTATCAAATGATTTTTCTCTGAATAGGGTTAAAATCTTGGTTGTAATATTTGCGTTTATTGGGATCAATGCGCTATGAGAGCGTCAGTAATAAAACATAAGAGATAATCTGAAGTGCGGGTCTTAAAGTCATGTATAAGGAACTTGATGACGTTGTTCGTTCAAGGGCGGTGAGTTGGTGATCACCTAGGAACTGGAATACGCTTATTCCTGTGTGTATTACAACGGAGGGATGTATTACGCAGGGACAACGTGCACTGTATTGTATCATATATTTAGTAAGATGTCTGTCTTACTTATAGGCCCATGGATCCATTGAACGAGGAAGAGATAGAGAAAGAGGTCAGGAGCATCATTAAAGGACTGGCGGAAAAAGAAAAGAAAAATACGATTTCATTCAAAGATTGGCCAATTCCAGTGACTCCATACGAGTTGGAGCCCAAGAGACGCAATTCTGGTTTGGATTAAACCAAAAGCATGGTTATAGCCACACCCATAGGCATTGGCATATCACGCTAGAGGGGGTCTCTGCATTTTGTTTTAAGCCCGGGCCAAACGATCCCAACAGGTGAAGGCAACATATCGCAACATTGTTGGGTGCAACATGTTGCGCTAGTTTGACTACCCTGTTGCGACGTGTTGCGACATGTTGGGTGTTACGTTGTTGGACCAAATTTGACCATTTTCAAACTTTAGCCAACAACACCCAACATGTCGTAACAGGGTGGCCAAACGCGCCCAACAATGTTGCGATATGCTGAGTCGTCAAGTTGTGATCGTTTGACCAGGGCTTTAGATAGTGCTCTGAATTATTTCAATTGCAAAAAAAGTCTCAACATTTTGAGTTATGACGTCAGATCTGATGACGTGACAAAAACGTATTAGCAAGAATTCTAACAGGAACAAAAGCAATCACTGGCCAAAAGTTTCTTTTAAGTTACTAGGTTAAGTATCTTTTTTATACAGATATTTGGCGTAGTTTCAGGATTGTAGATGTCTCAAATGAACATTTTCTAACGGACTTTTTCCCCAACTTTTTATATCATTTGATTACGCATGACTAAGAAACCGTTAGAGAGGTTTTCAATTGAGTGTCGCAAAAAACGAAACCAAAGTAATCACTTTAGCCGATGACAAGGGAAATAGGCAAGACAGTGAACCAATCAAAACTCGAAGTTATTACATGTGGCTGACGCCAAGCGCGGGAAAACAAGAACGAGTGAGTCACGCTTGGTTTTACTTCCGGCTGGATGTGTAGCGTAGTAATGCAAAACCAATTACTTTTCGCCAATCAAAATGAAAACCGCTCTGTAATAATTTAAAGCAATTCCAGAGTGAGGGTGCACCTTGGAATTGCACTGCTCCTTTAAAATCAACCCCCTTGACTTTCTTTGGAACAGTTTCCTTGGTCTAAGCATTGTTTAAAATTCCAAATTTCATATTTTTCAGCTAATGTTGATGTCCCCTGACAAAGGATTAAGGGTTTGTTATGACGTCATCAACTGTGGGGTAATAAATTTACATTCACTAGCTGTGTTGAAAAAAAAGAGGTTCAGGTCCTAGCTCTGTTTACTTGAAAAGTTAAGGTGACAACAAAGCTGTATGCCGTAAGTGTAAGAAAGAGTTATAATGTTATAACTATAAATTGTAAATGTTTTATAAACCAGGCTCAAAGTCGAGAACATAATACCATAATTAGGGGATAATGCAATTATCAAATTTTGTAACGTCTGTTTATGAATAAACTCCATAAGTAGTTAAGTTGTAAATCTTATATCCCTGATGTATTGAACATAGAAATTTTAATAAATATCTCTAGTAGCAGTGCTTTTTCGACGTGAGCCCCACTTTATTACTCACGAATTTTTCTAGGAAGGGCTTCCACTTTTAATTTGCACTGCGGGTGCTTTTCCAATTAGGGTCCTTTCCAATAATTAATTACAATGTAAAAACTAAACAAAAAAGAGCTATTACAATGGAAAGAGATGTTTGCTCAACGACGCCTCATGGTAACTTGACTTTTTACCCGGGGAGTACTCCCAGAAAAATTGTGTGGGGGTGTGTGGCCCGTTTGCCAAAACTCTTTCCCTATTTAAGACCAAAATCTGCGAATTTCCCTATCCTTATAATGACTTGACCAAAAATTCGATGGCCTATTTTAGACCTGATTCTTAAATCAACGACCGATGTTAAAGGCATTGTGAAGGGCTTTTATTGATGGTCCTATCGATAATGATGAAAACGTAGCTTCTTCTAAAAACAAACCCAATTTAAGTCTAGAGTGTAAAACCATTTCCTATTTAAGACCAAAATGGCCAAAATCGA